GGCATTAAGATGGGCACTGGGAACAGCAGTGCTGACAGGAAGATGGGCACTGGGAACAGCAGTGCTGACAGGAAGAGGGGTAGGAAGGATAAGATGAGGGGGAGGGAGAAGGGGGAAGGACAGGGGAGGGTGAACCCGAAGGTTGAGGAGAAGGAGAAGAAGGACGGCGCAGCGGGGGAGGAGAGGGGCAGTGCTGGGTTTATCTTCATGTGCAACGGAAAGACGAAGCCGGAGTGCTTCCAGAACAGCGTGTTTGGCTTGCCCAAGGGGAAGATAGATGTGGTGGAGAAGATCCGACCAGGGGCGAAGCTGTTCCTGTATGACTTTGACCTGAAGCTTCTCTATGGGGTGTACAAGGCAACAGCAAGAGGAGGGATGGATCTTGTGCGGCGTGCGTTCAACGGGAAATTCCCTGCTCAGGTAATTCTTGGTCATTGTTTGCGTGCTTATGGCGCATTATTATGGTAGTAGAAGTATCCGTTTACTATTAACTAGTATTATTATACAGCCTGTCCTGAAGATATTATGGGAAATTCCCTGCTCAGGTAATTCTTGGTCATTGTCTGTGTGCTTATGGCCCATTATTATGGTAGTAGAAGTATCCTGTTTACTATTAACTAGTATTATTATACAACCTGTCCTGAAGATATTATGTGCTATATCGTATGGTTAGGGTATGTAGAAAGCCGCACAAGTTAATACCGCAGACAATGGCCTGATAATTTTTTTACTGATCCTTTGAAAGGCTCATTAGTGATGTGTTGAAATTCATGTTGATTCCGATGGCATGCAAACTCAAAGTTTGGATATGCGTGTATGCTTATTGAAGAGAAAAGCGACATGTTTTTCTTGTCTCACTTGGCAACTTTTTACGTCATTAAACTTAAAATAGTTATTTAAGCTAAATTTATTTTCTTACAAGGCTTTTGCTTCAATTTTTTCATAACGAATCAGAACGGTTACTAGTGAGTACTAATTCTTATTTTAGTTTCCTTAATCATTAAATGTCCATGGCGGTCTAGCATTGATCATGTGGGAGTTGTCGTTTGTTGCGTCGGTAAGTCTTTGCTAGAGTGGCAGAGGGTGCAAAGGTCGTGGTATATTGGAGCACGTCCTAGCATACATGATGTTACGTGGCAAAGGGTGAGGTGGAAGTCTTCTCGAAATGATGGTAGATAGGACACCTCCGATCAAGTTAGGAAACACACATGATCTTTTTATGAGAGAATGCCACATGTCCTGAACTATCTTTAATTAGTAGAGGCAAAGTAAACCATTTGTTCCCTTCAAAATGTTTTGATTTCTGTTAAGAAGGTATATGTTTGCACTTTGCACAGTAACCGAATTAATGGTGATCTCAGGCTAAGTAGAAAGAAATAGCTGTTCGTCTTTGAGTTTCCGGCCTAATCTTTTTTGGTAATTAGTTCAATAGTTTTGTCTGGCCATCGGAAGAAAAATCGGCGGATGACCTTACACGGTTACGCCCATGTTTGTAATGATATACCTAGCAAAACATATTAATGATGAGTACTGGTAGATGGCAAGGATTAATTGTGTGGAGGGAGCGAGTAAAATGGTATTGGAACATGCGTATGCAAACACTACTGATCATCTATAACGAATCCCTTGCGAAAGCAATATTATGCACAGATCTCTATAATAGAGCTATGGGTGTGTTTGGTTTGAGCCGAACATCACCAAAATTTTGCTAGCCAAAATATTGGCTAAGGTTTTGGTTGCCCATGTTTTGGCCAATTTTGGCAAAAAAAATCAATTAGAGTTGACTAGAGCACTTGGGCATTCCAAAAAATTTGGCAACCATCCAAGCAAGAGCCAAAATTTTGGGTATGACCAAAAAGGTTAGTATGGTTGGTATTGGTCACCATCCAAAGTTCCAAACACACCTTATGTTTGCTGTGGAATTCTAATTTCTCTTTATATCCCATGTTGATTAATTTGCATTATTACATTTTGTGTTTGCCAAAATCTGTGGTGATCTTGTTCTTTTAATATCTTTTATCCATTTAGTGTGGGATGTTTTAGCCTTGGAAAGCTAACATGGAGCTTCTTTTAGCATTGTTTTCATATTTCATGAAGATGAATGATGGGTCAAAGGAGATGATGCTAAGGACATTTTATTATTTTAACTAATTCGTGCAATTCGTGCACTTGATGCAGGTCAAATTCAGGATTGATAAAGATTGTCTTCCGCTTCCTGAGAGTAGTTTCAAGCATGCCATTAAGGAGAACTACAATTCAAAGGGAAAATTCACCCAAGAGCTCAATTCGAGACAAGTAAGCCATGACAATTATTCTAAATTGTGCAATTTGAAATGTATCCAAAACTAAAATAACATTTTGCATGTTCATGATGTAATTTATGGTTCTATTTTGTAGGTCCGTAAGCTACTGGCACTATACAAGCCAATTAACATACAACAGCCATCTTCCCAACATGTTCAAGAAGTTCCTCGGACAAACCGTGTTGAAAGGCGCATGCCTCACTATGTTGAAGAAAGGCGACAGCCATATGATTATGAAGAAAGGAGGCTGCCACGATATCGTGAAGAAATGCAACACCCACAATTTGCTGAAGAAAGGAGATTAGCCTATGATTATGAAGAAAGAAGGCCATCACTCCATGTTGAAGAAATTCGACGCCCACAGTTTGTTGAAGAAGCTCAGCCACCTACATACTATGTTGCTCCTGCTCCTCATGGTTCATACCATCCACATCAAGCTAATATCATTTATGAAAGGTGAGTTGTCATTATCTTATATGTTCATATACTGTAATTTGTGTGCTAATTTCATTTATTATAACAGACAATATTTTAATCAATATATTTTCAAGCATGGCTGTCAATTTAATAGTACAACTTTTTGGCTGCTTCCTAATTGAATTATGAGCAGTGAACATAGCTTTTCACCATATTTTTGTCCATTTTATGGAAGTATGTTTGATAAGTTGTGTCCGTTGATGTTTAATTGTGAAATTATTAGAAGGTCGTAATTCTTTTGTAATCCTTTAGTGGGGCACTTTGTTACTCTGAATGCAGAATTTCCTTCCCACAAACTATTTGTTCAATGGGCTGTTTCTGTGGATTCTTTAGTTTGGTGCTGAGTCTTAAGATAGCTAACCAATTCACCTGTTTCTAAAAAATATACGATAATAGCTGTAGACTATTATGATTCATATAGGAGTGCTGATTACCCTAGTAAAAGCTGTTTTATGAGAATCTGGGATTTCATTTCAGAAGAAAAGAACTGTTGAATCTAGGAGACCTGTTCATTCTTTCCAAAAGTTTGTCTGACTCATCAAAGAAAGGATTAATGCACTGGAGGCCCCTACAGTTTAGGCACCTTACTGGCACTTCATTACATGCTCATGGCCCTCAATTTTCTCTTTTTTAGAAATAAGAATTTTACCCTCATGTCAGAACCTTTCCGTCATGATTCTAGAATTTGCATATTTGTTTGGCAATTAATTATGAACAGACTAAAACATTTAGGAACAAAAAGCAAAATTGGCATGTATTAATATTTGAACATGTAGTTGAGGGTGTTTTTGACATCTGTGGAAATAACACGGAGCATGCTTCAAGGTTTATAGCACGCTGTCTTGATGAACCGCGGTCTTCGACAAGTGTAAAGCGTGCATTACAACAACACAAAAAGATGTTTTGATTTAATTGTTATCTAATCATACATACACATATGCTCGGATGCTTGATGACTTCTGACCTTGTTGAACTTGAATTCTGCTCCCAGGGCTCCAGCTGACGCCGCCAACAGGGTGGATCCATTCCTTCCAAGAGACTACAGGGTGCCGCCACAGGAGGTCGCCGCACCCCCAAGCTACGCTGATGAGATCTACCGTGGTGCTTACCCAGCTGCTTACCCGGCAAACCTCCAGGGGCCTGCTGCTTCAAGGGTGCCAGTGTCCTCCCTCTACTCCTTCGCCGGCGCACCGGCGTACAGATGAACGCTGCAGCGCCTGCTCTGAAACCGGTCCTGACCAGCATGATTCGCTGGTTGGTGGTGTAGCTAGCGTCGTCTTCTGATACATACTGTAGTCGTTTGTTGGATCCCTGACTTGGATGTCGTTTGCCACAAGTGTGGTACTGGAACGTGTCGTTTGCCACAAGTGTGGTACCTGGAACGTGTCGTTTGCCACAAGTGTGGTGCTGGAACGTGTCGTTGGCTGTTAAACAAGTGACTTTCCTGACAAGTGCTGCCGTGGTCTTGCAAGTGTGGTCTGTTTTGTTTGTTATATGATATGAATGTCGGTAGCTGGTAGTGCGTAGAAATTCGGTTGATCCATCTTCGAAATCTGCAGTTTAGATATAGTGATCTAAAACGTCTTACATTAGTTTACAGCGGTGGTACTATTTTAGCTGATTTTTAAGCGTAATCTGATCACATGCCTCCGTAAGAAAGTGGTTCCTGGTCAAGTCCGGCAGGAAGGAAGGAGCCTTCAAGTTCCGTCGCAATCTTCTGGGCGGCCGGCTAACAGTTTGTCTAATTCATATCTAGATGTTTTTTAACGATGTCACATTTAAGCTCTCACAAGTATATAATGCATCAACAAGAAACAAAAAAATTAGACCACAAACAAAGTGAAAATCAGCTTAGATGTGACATAGACTATGTCACGTCTAGATGTGTCCTATACAAACCCGCCGGCTAAAGCCAGCCTTGGGTCAAACGAGCAACGCCGCGAAAAGGAATGGACTCGGGCTAGGAGGCTACCGCTCTACTGCGCAGGAAGGAAAATCTATCTACTGTCGTGGTCTTCACGATATTTGACACGAAGATCCACAGAAACTTCCCGTGACGGGGTACGCCACAACATCGCCACCGTTGGCGCCGTGGATCCACACGGTGGCGTACACGTACACGTACGTGCTCGCTAGCTCGCGCGGGCCGTTTGATAACCTCCGGCCCCTCTGCGGGGATGCGGCCAGCGCCGTTCCCCTCGTCTCCTCCCCCCTCCCTCCCTGTCGTCGCACGGACCGACGGCGACGGCCGGGCCCCGCCCGCCGGGCCACCGCCCACCGCGCCTATATTCCAGCCTCCACCCGCCTCCCCCAGCGCAGCCGCC